CTCCCCACTATCACCACCCTCCGGATTGTTCTGCGGGGATTGGCAGAGGAGTAAGAAGTAGGCTTTTCCCGTCGGGATGAATGCTGCAGATGTAGTATCTGTTCCGTACCGGAGGCCTTCTATCCTCCCTTGCTTTCCCCACACCGTTGCGTGACATCTGTTACGTCGCGGTGGTATGACTAGCTTAGACAAGCTAAAACCAGCTTAGACCAGGTTTGACTAGCGAGTGGAAACACTCAGGTCCCAACGTTAAAAACCGACCTTGTGTCGCAACCTGACTTAGTGAAAGGGGGTCAGTTACACCTCGGGAGTGAGTTGCCAGTATTCTTGTACGGAACGTCGTGATTCTGATATATTTTTTGTTTGTCGTCGCTTTCTATGTCCCAGTTACGTTCGACCTTCGTTTGCGCCGTTCTTGTGTCTGCTGTGGACATGTCTGTATCTTTTTTTTCTTTTTTCTTTTGCTTTGTTTTGTTTATCTCCGGTGCTGCTGTTGGTTCCATCACTCCTCGTTTTTGTTCCGGCAACAGAAAAAAAAACAACTTCATCTTTTAGAACTGACATTGTGAAGCTTTCTCTGGTTGCAATGCGGCTATTTTATGTTCCGTTAATCTTTCAGGAATAGATGATTTTGAAGTCCTCTCTGATTGCTTTGTGACTATTTTATTTTTATTTTTAATTATTTTTGTCATGTATTTTTCTTCTCTTCCTTTGCGTCCCATCCTAAAGTTATTGGTCTTCAGAATTTTCAATTATTAAAGTAAACATCATGAAATTTGAATAAAGAACTAGCTTCTGACGTGACTTTTACAGGAATCACGTGCCGGGAGTTTGTCTTAGATAATCTGGTCATAGTAAACGCATGATGGTGTAGGAAGAAAATTGATCGACATTTACCTGAGATCTAGGCTACGAGTTATAATCTCGTCGTCAAAGCATTAATAATTCCGATCTTACGTTTTTTGCTTTCATAGGCGGAAGTTATGTCAGCGTAGAAAGTTATGAAAAAGGAAGCAACACAATGATGTAAATTAAAAAGAAAAGCTACTAAAAATCTATTTCTTATGTTTCAATACAGATTTACTTAAGCATTAATATCGCTGCAAACTGCAAGAAGCGAAGTAATGAATATAAAGAAACGTAAGAAATAAAAAAAAAAACTACTGAAGATTTTAGAACACTTCAGAACATTGTCGTTCCATAACGTTCACGAGACAAAATATTATTAAAAATGATTAAATATTTGTGCGTGCGTTTTATAATTCAGACAATTGGGCAAATATTATACATGTAATTATAGCAAAAGTATAAAATATTAAATATATAATTATAGCAAAAGTTATATATTCAATTATAACAAATAATTATCTTTTAAGACATGAAAAAATTACCGAATTTACATTATTCGGACTATTGTCCTCATCTTTTTCGCCATATTTATTACAACGTTTCGTCCGTTTACGCCCCGGCCTTCTTCAGGTATTGAACTCATACTATTTGGGTCCTGTCACTGCATCTAACTAACGCCTTTATCCACTGTGCCATGTGTCCTTAAGGACATCTGTGTATGAATTCCTGTTCAATATCAATAACTGGTTAAGGCAGTGGAGAACTTGAAGAGGTGAATTAATAGGAGACAACTGATAACTGACATCCATTGGACATGGCACGTGGAACTAGAGAAGTCTACCCCCGTGAGCGAAATAAAGAGTTCAGTTCGACATTCCAGCCACCTGAAGAAGACCAGAGCGTACAACGGCCGAAACGTAATAAACGTGGCGACAAAGTTGACGACAATAGTCCAAATAATGTAAATAGTGTACATAATACCTCATCTCAGAAATATAGACAGATGAGAAAATTAATTTAAAATTTTTAATCTATTAGGTTTTAATCATAAGTAATTTCACATTTGGAAAATCAACTGTGATGTCAAATATACCGTCCTAAGTAATTCGTTCTTTAAATATATCATGACAGGTGATGGAAATTGGGTTGCCTACGACAAGTTCAATACAAAAAAGTATTGGATTATCGACGCCAAAATTTGAGCACCATGGAAGAAAGGTAATGTTCCTGTGGTGGAATCGTTGACGTGTCATCTATTAAAAGTTAAGACTTAATGAAACACTAAACGCACATTTATACATCCAGCAGCTGCAACTTGTTCATAAAAATTTTATGGAAAACTGCCTGGCGCTTTTCAAGCGGAAAAAATGTTCTCATCGATGACAACGCAAGGCAAAAATAAGCAGAAATAAGATAGACAGACATTTTGGAAGTTGACTGGTCTTTTCATTTTTTTAAGCTTTTTACTCCAAGCAAGGGGGGTGCCACTAGGACGCAAGAAGTTACAGAGAGTGGGAGAAAAAGTAAAGAGGCGTGATAGAGGAAAGAATAAAGATCAGGACGAGGAATTATATCAAGGCTTCTGGAGACGTTACATTTGAATAGTTGGAGATTATAGCTATCATGGAAGCAAGTAAGAGGAAGGGAAGCTGCTCGGCCCGGGGGCAATGATCAAAGTGTAGTACGCTGCCTTTGTGTGCTTCCGAGTCAGCGTCTGTCGAACTCTGCATTAGCAGAGAGGAACCCGGACGAAGCTTTGCCGAAGAGCAAGGTTTCGTCCGGGGAGGTAGACAGGGCCTGAACCCGTCTCGGCGGGTTCAAAGGCTATATTTTTGGCCGAGCCTACGGGCTCGGGATACCCACATTAAACCGGCCGTGTGCCACATTCTATCCTCGTGGGTGAATTGATAAATACTAAGTAAGAGGAAGGGAGTTCCACAGACGGGAAGTGTGAGACATAAAGCTATTGGAGTAGAAGAGACGGCTATATTTAAACGTTTCGACAGTGAAATGGTAGGACTGAAATGCCAACCTAGTAGCAGATTTAAATTCATGAATGTTTGGGAATCAGCAAAAGTAGCTCGTCGGAGCATTTACTGTGAAAGTATTTGTAGAAAAGACAAAAGGAAGCGACGGCAAGTCTATGAGAGAGCGATTGGAGACGAGATGCCAGATCAGAGCCAATCACATTGCATATCCATCTCTGGATTCTTTCGGGGAGCTTGAGACGAACAGCGGGGGCTCCAGACCATATAAGACAGCAAGGGCGAATAGTTGATTTATAGATTTGAAGGATGGACTCGATCGAGAAAAACGTTCTGGTACGTCACAGAGAACCAACTTTCCTTGCGATAGATGAAGCTTATGATTCAATGTATTTGTTCCATCTCATGTCAGCGGACAGTGTGGGACCAAGCAGGCACAGAGAGGCGCTCTCGTGGAGTTGAGCATCAGACATTCTAATAGGAGGGTTTTCTGTGGTGGGTAAAAGACAGCCGTTTTGTTTTGGAGGCATTAAAGTATGAGGAAGTACGGTGGAGCAATGGATATCGGCTTGGATTGAGGAATCGGAGAGCCGAGTTTGAATTCCAGTCGAATCCATTACATTCACTTACGTGCTAATACCCTTCGTAAAGGTGTGGATCCTCTACTTCTCCCTCCAGCTATGGGTAAATAGCAGGACAGACTGAGTTCTATAGCCTTGGATGGCAACTGGTCTAGAAGAAGGACAACTCTGAATAGAAACCCGGAGCGGAGCCCCTAAGCGGATGGACAACACTTTGTCCTACATTCCGGCAACTCCTGCCACCGCGCTGGTACCAAACTGTATTGGTTTATCCTCTCCTTTGGACTCTGCTAGCAAAGCCGAGAGGGGGGAACTAGACCTCCGGACAGCCCTAGTTCTCCATATATCCCGCCCAGGCTCGTAGATCACCACGCTACTCCATCGTCTCTCGAGACAAACGGATGCCGACGACGACGAAAGTTTACCAGCCATTTCTTGCCCCAGTCAACCTCAGATTAGAGGTCCTTTTCCAGACCATCGGCCAGGTTATTTTTCTGTCTCGCAATTTTAGCTTGACTTTGCAACAAACGATTAATAGCTTTTGCGATCGATTATTTACTTTTTGAAAAATTCGTTAATGGGGAAAATATTCTCTAATTAAAACTACAATTGAAGAGTTCGTGGATAGCTTTTTCACATCAAAATCTGCGGAATTTTACTCGAAAAGTGGCAATAAGCCAATAATGGTAAATATAATTTTATAAAATATAACTCTACTTTATTTCTGGAAAAATAAAATGTATAAATCAAAACGGAAATTACTTATGACTCAACCAAAACTATACTCCATATTTTCACATGAAAGCGAATACTACGAATAAAAATTTTATATATACACATAAATTTACCATCTAATAGCAAACTGACATTCCAAAACTCATGGGATACGTTGACTAGCATAGTCTTGGACACAGTTATGGACCAAGAAATGAAAAACGTCAGGACTTGACAAGCGGTTCAGCCGACAGTTGTTACCGGAAATTGTCCCGACTCAAAGTTCACTGATTTGTTTTGAAATCTTATTGATAACAGGAAATTATTGATGATCATGAGTGAAGCCAAATTATAAATTTTAATTTAACACTCAAAATTATTACTGATATTATTATCGTTGTTATTATTACTCTTTCATCTTAATTCTTATTAGCAATTCGCTTAACAGTAATTAACTGGGCATTAATAACTAATTAAATTAAGATATCCTGAACAAAATTTTCTTCGCCTTAAAAAAGATCTAGGGCGGAAAAGGAACGAGGTGAGGGATTAGAGAACTCGTTGATGGAGAAGGTGTTCGCATTTATCACCGCTGAGTGAGATTGTGGAGGCGACCACAATCAGGCAAAGACATGAAACCATTCTTTCATGTTGATATTCTCCTGCAGTTATTTCAGGCGCGCTTGCCCGACGACTCTGGGTTGATAAGTCGTAAATCATCCTTCAATCGTATTTTTTTCCAACTGTTCATTTCCAGTTCTGCATACTCTTTTCATAGAGTATGGATGGTGTGTAATAATATTGCAATAAAATACTGTTTACAGTTGTTATCGTGTGCTGGTGACAATTCCCGTATTTCAAAAGTTGCCAACTAGATAGATAGATAGATAGATAGATAGATAGATAGATAGATAGATAGATAGATAGATAGATAGATAGATTTAAATAAACCTCTACAAGTAGTTTCAGTGAACGGCTGAAATTGATAGATAGATAGATAGATAGATAGATAGATAGATAGATTTAAATAAACCTCTACAAGTAGTTTCAGTGAACGGCTGAGATAGATAGATAGATAGATAGATAGATAGATAGATAGATAGATAGATAGATAGATTTAAATAAACCTCTACAAGTAGTTTCAGTGAACGGCTGAAATAGATAGATAGATAGATAGATAGATAGAGATAGATACAATAGAATGAATAGATAGATAGATAGATAGATAGATAGATAGATAGATTTAAATAAACCTCTACAAGTAGTTTCAGTGAACGGCTGAAATAGATAGATAGATAGATAGATAGATAGATAGATAGATAGATAGATAGATAGATAGATAGATAGATAGATAGATAGATTTAAATAAACCTCTACATGTAGTTTCAGTGTGAAATAGATAGATAGATAGATAGATAGATAGATAGATAGATAGATAGATAGATAGATAGATAGATAGATAGATTTAAATAAACCTCTACATGTAGTTTCAGTGAACGGCTGAGATAGAGATAGATAGATAGATAGATAGATAGATAGATTTAAATAAACCTCTAATGTAGTTTCAGTGAAGGGCTGAAATAGATAGATAGATAGATAGATAGATAGATAGATAGATAGATTTAAATAAACCCCTACAAGTAGTTTCTGAGATAGATAGATAGGGATAGAAATAGATAGATAGATAGATAGATAGATAGATAGATAGATTTAAATAAACCTCTACAAGTAGTTTCAGTGAACGGCTGAGATAGATAGATAGATAGATAGATAGATAGATTTAAATAAACCTCTACAAGTAGTTTCAGTGAACGGCTGAAATAGATAGATAGATAGATAGATAGATAGATAGATAGATAGATTTAAATAAACCTCTACAAGTAGTTTCAGTGAACGGCTGAAATAGATAGATAGATAGATAGATAGATAGATAGATAGATAGATAGATTTAAATAAACCTCTACAAGTAGTTTCAGTGAACGGCTGAGATAGATAGATAGATAGATAGATAGATAGATAGATAGATAGATAGATAGATAGATAGATAGATTTAAATAAACCTCTACAAGTAGTTTCAGTGAACGGCTGAAATAGATAGATAGATAGAGATAGATAGATAGATAGATAGATAGATAGATAGATAGATAGATTTAAATAAACCTCTACAAGTAGTTTTTCAGTGAACGGCTGAAATAGATAGATAGATAGATAGATAGATAGATAGATAGATAGATAGATAGATAGATTTAAATAAACCTCTACAAGTAGTTTCAGTGAATAGATAGATAGAAATAGATAGATAGATAGATAGATAGATAGATAGATAGATAGAGATTTAAATAAACCTCTACAAGTAGTTTCAGTGAACGGCTGAGATAGATAGATAGATAGATAGATAGATAGATAGATAGATAGATAGATAGATTTAAATAAACCTCTACAAGTAGTTTCAGTGAACGGCTGAAATAGATAGATAGATAGATAGATAGATAGATAGATAGATAGATAGATAGATTTAAATAAACCTCTACAAGTAGTTTCAGTGAAGGGCTGAAATAGATAGATAGATAGATAGATAGATAGATAGATAGATAGATAGATAGATAGATTTAAATAAACCTCTACAAGTAGTTTCAGTGAAGGGCTGAAATAGATAGATTTGATAGATAGATTTAAATAAACCTCTACATGTAGTTTCAGTGAACGGCTGAAAGAGATAGATAGATAGATAGGATGACTGATTTTCCCCATGAAAACGTGAGTTACGTCATTCATAATATGGTATAAATACTGTTTAATTCTCAGCCTTAACGCAAACGATGTATGTTTCTCGAATTTACTCTGTATTTGCACATTTCCTTTTAAGCTTCTGAATCTACCACAAGAGATTGGGGAAAGTTTTTTCACGTTAAGTTGGAAAACGCGACACCGAAAATGGAACACGTATTGTACAAGCAAAAGATACCTTCGAAATCTAAGGTAAGTACCAAGAAAAAGGATACTTTTGTTAGAAAACAAGAATGGAAAGCTGGACTATTATGTAATATCAGTCGTCCAATATAACAGTTAATGCTGGACAACCGCCTCACTGACGAGGAGATAGAATCAGACAGAGAACTGATGAATTTGTGCGAATGAACGGCGGAATAGATGGATTAATAAGGACGACAAAACAATAGGAAGTTGTAGAGAGCCATGTCTGCTCACATACTGAAGTGACACAACAAATAGAAGATCTACAACAACAGATATAGCAGTATCTTTCTTTCTTTTTTGTCAACGTTATAAAACAATAGATCGACTGATTATATTCTAATGGTAGTTGATGAATGTCTGATACATCTCACTGAGGTGAAAGTAGGTTTTACAAAATTACTCGAGACTTAGTGGCGTCCACTTCAGCACCAATCGAATACCGTTTCACAACTTATCAGACGCATTCTGTAAAAATGGTCACCTTCGAAAACTGCGAGCAACATCAGGTGTGCAAACTGATAGCGAACGACGGAGGCATTCAAATGAACATGAATGCAATTAAAATGTCCCGATGCATTCTGGGACTTGTTTAATGATGTCTTCTCTGTTCACTACGTGTTGTCATGTCTACCGGCAATCGATATTTTTTTTTTTTTTTTTTGTCGGGGGACATCCCTTTTCATGAATGTATTACAGTAAACCTATCCTTCTTTTTCACCTGCTAAGCAACCCACATACTTATCACAATACACCTTAACAGAAGTTTCTGATAAATTGACAAAAACAAATTACCAATAACAATGGATAGAAATGAAGTTCACCTGGTTTTTAATGTAATGGGTTGTCCAAAAAAATTACATGGCATTAGGAGAGTTTAGCTTTAGGTAAAAATTCAAGAAAAATGGATTGGATGGTATGACGATATTTGTTCTATCGACATGTATGTCTTTTTTTTTTAAATTATTATTTAACCCATTGACGGTATAAAAGATAAATTTTCCGCTGTGTCTCATATCCGAAGTTGGGGTTTCTCTTAGACTAATTCTCCCTCCAAAACACACTACGAGCTATAAATTTACTCTAGACGTCCACGTCGATCTAACCCATCTTACTTACTTAAGCGATATCATTTTTATGTAAGAGAGTACTCCACCAACTGGCGATTGGTTATAAATATACGAAGCCCAATATGCTCATCAGAACATCCAGTTTGTGATAAAAGTATGCCGATTACATACATCGGAGACAAATGTGAACAATAAAAGAAATTACAAAACTTCCTATAGACGGTAACGAAGGAGGGCAAGAAGGAACAAAGTATAAACTACAAGAAGACAGAACGCATGGTCATCAGTAAAAAAAAAATGAGTCCCAAGTGCGATTTACAGGTTGGGGACACTAAAATCAATCATTGGCGAAATTTTAAATATCTGGGAAGTGTTTTCACGGAGGACGCTGAGATCTGTCGACGTATTGGGATGGCCAAAGACGCATCCCAAAAGCTAGGCAGAGTATTACGAGGATCTCTTTGGTAACAAAGAGTACTGAGCTGCTACGTGTTCATCTGTCCTCTTATACGGCAGCGAGTGTTGGACGGCCTCCTCATAGATGAAAAAGACGAGACTCGAGGCAAAGGAGATATGGTTCTACAGAAGGATGCTAAGGATATCATGGACCGAGCGTGTGAGCAACGATGATGTTTTGGAGAGGATGCAAACAAGGCGGAAGCTTATACTTAACATCAGGAAGAGGCAGCTGAAGTTTCTGGGATATAATGAGAAAGAAGAGCCTGGAGAATCTGATATTCACAGGTCGTATAGAGGGAAAGAGAGACAAGCGGGCTTAAGCAAGTGGATGACGCAACGTGGTCTGGGGGAGGTGGCAGGGGAAGAAACTTATTGAGAACTAAAGGGGATAGGAAAGAGTGGAGAGCCATGATCGTCTACGTCCTGAAGAGACAAGATACATCAAAAGAAATGATATAATCGAATGTGCATACACCTGTGTTCCCCCTCCATGAAATATGATTGGCTGGTGTCCGTCAAAAATACCGACGGACGTGTAGGAGAGTCAGAGAGCCTTAGTCTGAGAGCCTAGTCTATAACGACGCCTATTGGACTACGCCATTGATCTACACTTCTTACTTGAGACTACGACGCGTACCAGTCGATTACTGCTACCGTATTCTACTTGGTTATAGTAGCCAAAACCACTTAGCTACTTCCTTCAAATATATCCCTTTCCGGGACATGTCAAGAAAGAACGGGATAAGCTTGGATAAAAACAGTGAATAAGTTTGCAGGTGGATCCCAGTTTGGAATACATTCAAATCGGATAACACGATTATCTGACATGGTCTTTGATTGTAGATGTTCCCAACTTTACAGATGTAACTCCCAAGTCGCCTTTTTCTGTCTCATCCCTTTCGACACTATTATTATTATTATTATTATTATTATTATTATTATTATTAATCGAGTGTTCACGCTAGAAGTAACTGGTTGCTTATACTAGATGACAGTGAGTCCCCTCAACATTCCAATATATATTCCAGTATTATATTAATGTCCTCTGTGTTTTCGATATCACTGTTATTTGGATAGTTACAACTCCTTCTTCTTCTTCTTCTTCTTCTTCTTCTTCTTCTTCTTCTTCTTCTTCTTCTTCTTCTTCTTCTTTTTCTTCTTCTTCTGCTGCTGCAGATGATGATGATTATTATTTTGCTTCACTTTCTTTTCTTCTTCTTCTTCTTCTTCTTCTTCTTCTTCTTCTTCTTCTTCTTCTTCTTTATATTATTATTATTATCTTTATTTTATTTCCTTTGATTTCTGGCGTGTACACATTTCTTCCCGGGTCCCGTCCAGGGACCTAAGGTTAGAAATGGCATCATGACATTTTCCACTGGAAAAAGAAAAATTACATAGACAAAACCCTTCGTAAGGTGTGGGCTGTAATCGGGAGAACAATTTTTTGTGTTTCTTTAAGTTATGGACTTTCAGGAATCCCTTCAATGAGTCTACTGGAATCTTTTCCAACCAATCCGAGGGTTCCAACTACAACAGGGATTGTTGATGTTCCCATGTGTCACATTTTTGAGATTTCTATTTCAAGGTCCTTGTATTTTGATAGCTTTTTGAAGATCTTCAAAGATACATTGCAGTCTACAGGGACTGCCATATCAATAAAGAAGCACCGTTTTTGTTTGTTTGTGGTTTTTAATAACAATGTCTGGGCGGTTGGCTTTGATTATTCTGTCTGTGTATATTGTGTCGTTCCATAAAATTGTTAACAGGCCCTATCTCTGTCTTTATTATTATTATTATACTACTTACCAAGTCTGCGGGAAAACCTATGTCATGTAGTGGTGTGTTGTTATGATTAAATTCCATGATTTGTTTTTCTATGTCCCATAACATTACTAGCCTCACTTGGTCAAAGTTCTTCTTTGTGGGTGGGTTGTACTGATCAAGACAAGGTTTTGTATTTCTCTTAAAATGGGATTTCCAGGGATTTTTCAAAGTGTTTTTGCGTTCCATTTTTTATCATTCCAAGCGCACCTACTATGACTGGTACTTTTTGTTTGCAAGTTCAACATTTTTTTCTATTTTCGATTTCCAGGTCGTTATTATTATTATTATTATTATTATTGTTGTTGTTGTTGTTGTTATATACTCATTTCCTTCCGGTTTTCAAACACAGACCTAAGGTTAGTAAATTGCGTTATGGCAATTCCTACTAAACGTTTGTGTAAAAAAAAAAATAGAAAGAAAAGAAAAATAAATGAATAAAAAGAAAATATAAACAACATAAGATCACATTTTATATTCGATAAATTCCTTCATAAGGTTCGAGTTCTACTTGTGAAAACAATTATGTGTATTTCGTTAAGGCATGAGCTACCGAAGATCCCTTAAATAAGTGTACTGAAAGCATTTCTAATCAGCCCGAGGGTTCCAAATACAACTGCAATTCTTGCTTTCCTCATGTGCTACATTTTTGAGATTTTTATTTCAAGACCCTTGTATTTTGATAATTTTTTGAAGATCACATTGTAGTCTACAGGAACTGCTATGTCAGTATGAAATCTCATCCAGATTTTTTTTTCTTTCACCATGATGCCTGAGCAATTAACTTTGATTGTCCTGTTTGTGTGTATTGTAAAATCCCATAAAATTGTTACAAGTTCTATCTCTGTAACCGGGTATGGGCGATGTTCACTTTCTTGCCGTTTCCTTCCTGTAAAACTTGCACATTTTCCAGTGCAGATATTTGCCCACTCTATAATGCCGAGTTCTTTATTCAGTGGGTGTCAACACTTGTGCAACGTGATATAAATTGTCAATTGTTTCTGGATTTCTATCACAGAATATGCATTTCAGATTAACCCAATTTTTTAATATGTCTGCTTGGTAACTTCAAATTAGCAAGAATTGGCATTGTAGAGGTTTGTACACGTTGGCTTATCACACAAACACTCTCTAGCGTCACTGTTTGGGAACAAGTGCCAAAAGATCTCTGTTTAGACAACGATTCCTGATATTGAACAGAGATGTACAGATTGTCATCCGGTTGGGGTTATGACCGGAGAACTCACATGCAAATCTTTCGAATTGAAAAGGCCATTTCCTTTAACCACTAAAATAAAATACGTACACATTAGGTAATTAAAATCAGAATCTGAGTTATGTCAATTGTAATATCAAACTTTAATAATAATAATAATAATTACTATTATTATTATTATTACTAACAGCATGATATATATATATATATATATATATATATATATATATATATAT